AAGAGGGTACATTTGTTAGGAAGGAGGGGGGGCACACATTTGTTAGGAAGGAGTCCTTAGCGAACTCCCAATCCAGGTCATTGACCATGTAATGCTGGTATACGAAAGAGAGATGGGAGTTAGGGGAGGAAGAGACGAGGGTGACAGTAGAGGAGGAAGCAACGACACTAAAAGGTGGGGGGCATTTGTCACTAAACGTGGTTGAGGATAAAAACGATGAAGGCATCGTAGAAGTAGAAGATGACGCGGGGAATGCCGAGGTTGGCGATGACGTAGTGGGTCCAACCAATGAAGAAGTCAAAGACAATGCAGAGCTTGTCGAGGGAGCGTGGATCAGAGGGCGACGACCGCTCGACATCTACGTTGACACCGGGCACATTTGGCAAAGGGGGAGAGGTCTGCCACCACCAACGCTAGCTGCACCGTAATCTGCCACCATCAACGCTAACGATATCGTCGTCCGCCATAGACGCTGTTCCACCATCGAATATTAAAATTATTTTTTTATTTTTTATTTTCATATTTTCGTTGATAAAACTGATATTATTAGAATAAATGGATCTAGTTGTTTTACTATCGTAACTACATGAATACCAATGTACCTTTTTAAAGTATAAGATTGGAATGCTAAATGTAGCTAATTACAAAAGAGCAATCTATAGTTTACCCCCATAGAAGACATCAATATCCACAAATCCAATACCTAATCATCGTTAATCATCAAACCATCACCTTAACAATTAGCAGCTTATAAAACCATCACCACCAATTTCACACAAAAATAAACTGATCCCCAACAATTTCATCAAATTAAACTTTTTCAACTAAAATTAACACCATCAAACCCATTTCCATCTTCTTTTTGGCACATTTAATCCGAATATATAAATACCATGTTTGTGATATTTTACATCCATTTAATCCTTCAATGAAAAGATAGAGAATAATAAATAATCACCACCACCTGGCCCAGTTCGCTGCAGCCTAACGGAGCATTGACGGCAAAGTGAAACAGAGACGGAAACCGTCGAAATAATCGTTACACCGTCACCGTTGGCTGACGTTACAGGCGCCGTCATCATAAGTCGGCGCCCGGTCGCCGTTGGACGGGCTCCGCCAAAACCCCATGCCTTGGAACTGCGCCAACATCTCCCTCTCCAACTCCACCGGCGATGGCCCAGCCTCCCGGCGAAGCCCATCCACGTCTCCGTTCGAGTCCTCCTGCGCGTCGGAGGAAGACCCGTCCCCTCCGAAACCGGCCTTCGGCCCCAGCAGCGCCGTCTCCTTCCGCTTCCTGGCCCTCTGCCTCCGCTTCTCCCGAGCCCGCAGCGCCCGGCGGCAGGCCACCGCAGGCAGCCGTACCGCAGTCAGCACCAGGAGGTTCACCACCAAGCAGGGACCCAAGCAGCACACGGCGACGCAGTCCGCCGCCGTGCCCCCGGCCACCTCCGCGCACCGCGCCCCCGGACGCGTCGTCTGCTTCAGGATCACCGGGTGCTTCCGGTTGGGGGCCACCGGGATGCCCGCCGCCGACGGGGCGACCCCAGCCCTCGGCGTCACCGGCGAGGACGAGGGCAGAAGCCTGCGATGCGCGTTAACCCGTGCCATCCGATCAAATCACGGGAGGCTGGCTGTCATCGTCGTCGATCCAGATGTCCTCCTCCTGCTTCCTTGGAGCGAAGAAGGTTCCAGAATCTCTAGGACGGAACGGGAGGGGGGTCGGGTGACCTCCCGGAGGGGACAACGGTGACGGGGTTTGGGCGGTCGGGCTCCAATTAAAAGGTCAGGCCCGGTCCGGTCAGGAGATGGGCGATGCGAGCTATTGGCCGCGGAACCCGGTCGACCCCCCGTTTCTTAGTCTCTCTCGATTCGACCCGGTCCCAGAGACGGATGGAAGCGAGGCGTTGCCTTAAATGTGTGGCCATCAAAATCCAAATAACCAGCGAAATATCTCCGAGTGTGTTGTGGCATTGTCCAAATTAGAGGAGAAATGTGTTCATATCTCAGTGGTAGCTCTAACAATTTATGATTAAGAGTTCATCAAAAATACTCTAATGAAGCCCAAATCATATATAGAGAAGCCATTTCTCTATATATGATTCCAGTGAGTTGAAAGTCCCAACTACTTACATCTTTAGAAATCAAATGTATTAAAAAGCAAAAAATTGCTGAATACAAGTGATTTTTGTATTTATCTTTCTAAATTTAAATTAAGTTAAAAAGTCTAATACATATTTACTTTATTTTTTATTACTCAAACCCTAATTATCCAAGACATTTGTGCCCATCACAATCCTCACCCTTCCTACCATATAATTTCCCAAGAATCTACAATCATATCCTTATGTCACATATGTTACAAAGAAATAACTACTATTACACCAAAGTTTGTGTAAAAGCTCACTGATCATTCTTCTTTTTTTTTTTTTCAAATAAATTGCATATGCACAGGAATAAAACTCAAAGCAAACAACACCTACAGGAGCAATTTGACACCAAAATATTATGAAATGGAGTTTAACAATATGAGACATTCAGAGAAAGATTTCATGAGTATAAGCTTCAAGCTACATTCTGGACAAGTATTTAATAATGAGAATGTCCAAGGAAGACTAAATTGATTGGAAATGTGATGACAATGCATAACAGTAAAAGCTAAAAGCATTTACCTCCAACCTGATCTTAAACAATTCAGCTAAGAGGACTTGTATGTCATGGTAGATGACTGATCCAGTCCTGTTTATATGGCAAAAGAGCAGATCCAGAGATGAGCTCTGTTAAAGCAGTAATGACAAGAAAAGCTGTAAAAGATTTTGTTGCATATAGCTGAACTATCACTTGAATAATTGACAAGAGTATACATTCTGTTTCAGGCTCTGATCAGTACTCCAAGCCTGGCATGCTGTGTTGCTTGAACTCCTAAATTCTAAGATGCATGCGGCATCACTCCAATTCTAAAACCCTCATCTTGCTAAGAGGTATAATTTGTCAAAGGAAATCATATACAGTCATATACACCTAAATAGGAACAATAAACAAAAAGAAAGAAACCATACTACACGTGAATACCATCGGACGAGGCCTCTTCACTCCATGATGAGGTTGCTCCTTTGAGATCGAGGTGATCATGATATGAATGACATAATCAGCCTTTGATTATATAACAGTAAGACTGTACATATTGATCCTACATAAATCCTGCAATGATGCGAGGCTTCATAAATAGCAATCTTATACTCTTCGGTTAAAACGGAAAATTAACTAAATTTGCCAATTCATTAGTAATATCAACAATGGAGATGCTGAACCATGTGCTACGAAGTGCCTGTTCTAAAGCATACCAACAAAATCAACAGCCAAACAAAAGCTGAATATTTCCCACTAGTTTAAATCTGTTTTACCATCTGAATGTCAAGAGAAGGCATAACATTTTGCCAATTGCGGTTTCCAGAATAAATGCTGCTTGCATTCCCAGTATATCTGCCTAATTGCTTGCATGTATCATGTGTGAGACGTATATGATGGAATGAAATTCTGAACTTTGTGACATCAAACAGGCTATCCATGATAGTATAAGACAAACAAGATGACTAATAAACTAATTGAATCATACCACCAAATGAATACATATTCAGGTTGCACCATCTAACAAGTACATCTTCAGTATCATCCACAAGTGCTTTTAAAACTACATAAAAGGAGACTGTTCACAATAATTTCATAAAAGTGACATAGGTAACTATACCAACAAAACCTTGAATATAGAAGGATTAAAACTGAATGGCTTCGAACCCAACACCAAGATAAAAGCAATGTTGCATTAATGGGAAAGAGTATGATTCAAATGCATATCAGAGTACTCAATTTGACAAGGAGATAACTGGAGGTACAGGGAACCACAGAAGAAGAAGACATAAAACAGTTGTAATTATGTCGTAACAATGTAAAATCTAATGTGTGTAATTGCAGCTTAATAACTCCACAGGTGTCAGCTAATATTACTAAGCTTTAACTCTACAGCTTCACATTTGACTAAAAATAACAATTAGCTCACAGAATTTTCCTTCAATTACAATCTAGTATAGGATATAAAATAGTTGGCGACAAGGATGTTGCTTAATAAGAAAGATTTAGAAACAGCATACAGTAAGCTTACACTTTTCACCTCAAATATGGGCCTGCCTACACCATTGCAACTCTACACGCTGAAATATAAAAGGACAAAAGGGACTATACCTGATCACCATTAACCAACTCTCAATGCCTCCCTAAGACCAAAGCTGTAATTATTTCGCTGGCCCTTCTTCCCGAAAGCAGCATTTCCTTTATGCATCATTGTGGCAAATTCATTATAGTCTATCCTTCCATCCTGAGTTCAAGATTAAACAGAATAATGTAACTCAAATGTTTTATATGAGAAAAATGTTGTTCACATGTTAAAACATAACTTACATTATCCTGATCGATTTCTTGAATTATTTCTTCTATACGGACATCTTCAATGCCAAATTCATCACAAGCTTTTTGTAGCTCATCTTGCGTAATGTAGCCACTACCATCTTTGTCAAAATATGAAAATGCTGAAAAGAGATTGTCCTCCCTCTCTATTTTATTTAGATGCAAGGTTGCGGCTATGAACTCCCCATAATCAATAGTGCCACTGTTGTCAATATCAGCCTGAAATTTTAGAAGTTCTATATCAATAAAATAAAGCAATCATTCAGTTCAATCAAAATTATTTGGCCATAAAATTTCAAAATAAGTTTGACACTTGAAGCAACTTTTCCTATCAGCATTGAGAGATAAGGTCTGCAAGCAACCTGATTCAAACAACAGAACTACATTATCTTCATCAAACTGCATTACAGATTCCATATTCTCATTTTCCTGCCGAATTATAAACACAGATCTCTTCTTTCTTCTCTTTTTCTTTTCCTGTTTCCATCTTTAATTACTCTGAGGTTGATCATGATCTATTAATGTCATGAAATGTCATTGTCTTGCCAAGTAAAACAAGCAAGACATTCTTAGGTATGAGTTTTGCTACTTGCCAAATGACCAACATCCATATGTGAAATGTGAAGTTCCTACCTTTCAGAACATATCTATCAATCATCTGCAATCAAGCTATGCATCATCTCACATTGATGAGAAGAATGTGAAACATGAGCACTTGCCAACAAAATTGAACTCTTCCAATAAAAACATTAGCACGTTCTGTTTAGATTCTGAAAATGTACAATTTAGCTGGTTTAGTTCACATATTGATGTACAAAGACGTAACACCCCTTACAAGATTACAGCCATTAATGGAGTAAAACAACTACAGGAATTATGTCTACATAAATGTGCTTTTCTGAGATGGTTTAGATCTTTAATTTGTTTGACTGAAAACAATACTTTCAAAGCTTTAAGTTGTATATTTATTTACTATGTAACTCATAGGTAGTCTAAATTGAGAAGAGAAAAAGGAAAAGCCTCAGACCAGGGTAATTGTGCCAAGCAGAATTGCTAGGCTGACATGGCAAGATACTGACTCAAAGGACAATGTCATACATTTCTTGCTCAAAAATTTAGCCATACCTCCAGGTAAACAATCAAATAATCTGCTATATCATTCTTGTTACTAGGAAATATAGCCATGAAGGAGTCTAGCACTTACAGCTGCCATTAGAGCTGAAATTTCAGATTCTTTAAGATTGGCACCAACTTTTTTTAAGCCTACTTTGAGCTCCTCGTATGTGATTTGACCACTATTATCTGCATCAATCATCTTAAACATTTCTTTCAAGCCTGCAATTTCTTCCTCGGACAGGCTCTCAGCAATGACCTATGAATATGTAACAGTAAGACCATATAGCATGTAGATGATTGAAGATTATCAATTACAAAATTGAACTGATGCTTTATTGTGAAAGGGATCAAACACAGTTAAGATTCTGTTTGCACAGTCAGAACCAGATCTTATAGTACAAAAAAAAGAACAAAAGAAGAAACAGTAACACAAGCTATGAGATTCCAACCGTTTTCTCCTGCCTTTAAGCTCTGTTGAGGGCACATCAGTTCTCATTCTAGGAGTTAAATCACTTTTTTGTTGCTTGTTATAAGTCTTCTAATACACAAGATCCTAAAGTGTGATATGTAAAATATTTTGAACTTTTCTAAGCTGCATATATCTTTTCCAAGTCCAGGACCTTGAATGTCACATAAACAAATCACAGACACAAAAAAAGGCGCACTTAATTAATAAAGGAAGTAAGCAATTAGCAATGAGATAAAGCTTCATAAGAAGTAATTCTGTAAAATAATTGATCTCGCATTAGAATGACATAGTCATAGATCAGAATCAAGAGACAAGACCTGAAAGATAAAATCAAATTTTTATAACCATCAGTGCCATTTGGTATCTCTTTGTGCAGGTTCTTCTGACCAAAATCTTAGATGGCTACTTGAACAGAAGTTAAAATCTCATAGTATGCAAATAAAAAATCTTTCCTTATTTTAAAAGTTTTTAAGGGTGAGGTCACGGTCCAGTCCAATTAACTAAAATAGTTCATGATGCAAAAAAGATTCACTCAAACATTGTTATCTTGATGTAAAACAGCTTGTAAAAATATGTTCATTAGAATTCCTAGTGGTTACCTAATTGCTAATCTAAGCAGTCATTTCTGTAAATGCGCTATCACATTATGCAATTAATGTGCTTTAGATAGCCAGGGGCTATACTATGATAGGCTACAAACAAGAAATACCATATACATCAAACTGCTACATGGATTTGGCCACCTCAAATGTGTCAGGATCCTTGTAAAAATGTTGAATCAGGCAAACAACTTCATAAACTCACTGATACAACTTTGAAGGCTGTCCTGATCAACTAGAAAGTAAGAACTTGCTGATGGATAACCCTCTCAAACATAGTATCTAGGATGAAATTACAGGCTCATACCAAATTAGAGGGAGGTTACCAAAAAAGTCGCTATTTCTAGTATATTCACTATGTCAAAGAGAATGTTCATCATGCTGGGATGATCTCCAAGGTGAACTTGGACAAAAAGGATGATCTGGTGGAGAATATCAGCAACATGCTAATAATATACAATGTAATTAGTAAAAGCTAGATGCACAAAGTTCTACCAGATACAACAGAAGATTATTATTGCAGGCATAACAAAGAACATCTAAATATAAATGGTAGAAGGAGATCCTGTCAATTGTCCAATATGTGGTCATAACACCAAGTAGGTTACAATCTGAATAGTCTCAGAAATCCAAGATGCTTAACTAATGTAAATGATTACCCTGATGGCCATCTTTTTTAGTTTGTTCATTGCAGAAAATTGTTTTAAGCGAGTTAACACAGCTGAATCCAGAGGCTTGTCAGGAGCTACACCATCAACACATACCCAAGGATGGCCTGAAAGAAAATATAGATTAGTTATGGACAAAAATTCTGAAGAATGAACTAAAAATGTCTAATGTAAAAGTGGAGGTAATCTTCAATCCACCAGTTAATCAGCAGATCTGCTTTGCTTAGTTGCCAAATAGTCATTTGTGGCCTAGTCTCATCACATGAAACATAAAGGTATAAATTAGCCAATGGTCATTCCATTGTTTTGGAGAACAACTTTTTGTAATTCTTACATTCATATAAAATTTTCTCATGTTTGGCATTGTGAAAATAAATGTATAATGATGATGAGTACAGAACCTTCTAGCTCTTCAGTATATTCATCATCTTCCCTACGTTTACGATTATGGAGGAAAATTTTCTATTTAATAAAGATAAAAGATATTTGTCTAGAAAAAGGATTTACAGAGAGCTTCGTGAGCAGTCAATCGTTGTTTTGGATCTCTGACAAGCATTCTCCTAACCAAATCTTTAGCACTTTCTGATATACTAGGCCAGGGGTCTGATGAAAAATCTAGTTCACCTCCTAAAACTTGCTCAAATATTCCTTGCTCTGTTTCTGTATAGCATAAAGGAAAAAACATTAAATTTTGGTTAGCAAATCAAAGTATCCAATTAAGCATGCATGAATTTGGAATGAAAATAGATCACTCATAAAGAAAATATCCTCACCATCCCAGAATGGTGGGACCCCACTCAATATGATATAAATGATTACTCCGACACTCCAAACATCTGCCTCAGGGCCATAATACTTCAACAACACTTCTGGGGCAACATAATATGGACTCCCAACAACATCTGTAAATGTTTCCCCTGAGAGAAACAGAAATTTTTGTTATGTCAATGATGCTCATAAGGAACTCTTAACAAAGCATTATAACTAACAAAGCATCAAAAACTGTAACATGAGTCAAACAACCAAAGAGAACTTGTACCTCAGATCGCTCAGTAAATTTAATCAAAATATCACTAAGAAGCATTAGAAACTCCAGTCCATCTCTAATCATATGTGAAGAAGAATATCTGTTTCTATGTTAAACAGACAAAAAAATAAGACAAACAGAAAGTGACAATCGTCTAGGGTAAACTTCCAAGATTTGAGAGATAATAGAAGTGTCCTAGTGAAACCTGAAGTTACGTTTTTAGTCAATTCCCCTCTTTTTCTCAATAATTGCATTGCATTGCATATGTTGCTAATGATGCCATGGTACAAAGACATTCTCCCAAATAACAATGGAAAAAAGAACAAAAGAAGAGACTGGGCACGACCAGGTGCATATTACACTTTACAACAAGGACAAGGACCGTCGTACCAACCGAAATGCTACGAAATGGGCGGTATGTACCAGTCCAGGCATGGACTGGTATGCGAATTGCCCTTGTTTCGGGCAATCTAGTTCAACTTAGAGGAAAAAATAATAATAAAAATACATCAATGTCAGGCCGAGTCCAGCTAAGTATTTAAAAGAAAATCTAAAATAGCAATTAGGGTTTGCGAACGCGGACCTCTGTGCTAGTCATAGGTGCCCAACAAGCCAATCACGTGAGTGATGACACGTGTGACTTGACGCGGAATCTTTTTTGCTTATTATATTTTGGCATTTATCACTTTATATTAACTATTGCATATATGCATGTATATATTATGATGTCCTTAGATCTGTGCAATGGGAATCGGATCGTGATGAGATCACGATAATGAGATCGATTCACCTTTAAACACAGATCATAAAAAATCCCGGTCATAGGTTATTCGAGAGGGACATCGTGATAACCGGACAGACTGGTGTGCTATATACCGGTCCATATGATGGATGCAGCTGGTCTCATAGCTACTCGTGTGGGGACACTAGGGATACAGTACAGGTGCTCATTGGAGAATGAGTTCACTGATTGATCCGCTTACGGAATGCTGGATGGTTGATGATGCCTTATTGTTAGACAGCAATTCCGTAGTCCTAGTGGTGTATCTGGTCCTTAGACTTGAGACACCAAGGATGTCCTGTATGAGTGCTCCACTCTTTGATACCAGACTTATAGGTTTGGCTGTCCCAGATCTAGTACAGTTGGTCATTGGGAGTGGCAGTCGACCTTACGAGGGCTATTGAGTGTCGATAGAGGATCATCCACTCTCGGCATCATGAGAGGAATATCCCATGTGTTCTTGCTCAGACAAATCCCTGGCCAGGGTCATTCGGGTTGAGAGAGAAAGAGTTCTCCGGGAGAATCCGATTAGAGCGAGACTCAAGTAGAAACCGTATGGGTCTGACAGCACCATGCTCGATATACGATCTCTGGGATATTAGATGGATGAGGGACTATAGGTACACGGTAATTGAGGACAGACAGGTCCAATGGATTGGATTCCCCTGTATCGTCTGGGGACTACGGCGTAGTGGCCTAGTACGTCCGTAGTCGATGAGTCGAGTGAATTATTACAGAGATAATAATTCATTAAGTTAGAAGGAGTTCTAATAGGTATGACTCACGGCCAGCTCGATATTTGGGCCTAGAGGGTCACACATATATGGTAGGCATTACGATGAGTAGAGGTTCGGATATGAGATATCCGCCAGAGCCCTTGTCTTATTGGATATCCAATAAGCCCCTGAATTATTGGATCCCATAGACAAGATCCAATAAGAGCCCATGAGAGATTATTGGATAGAGATCCACTAATCTAAAAGGCTTGAGTAATTGGATGCAGATCCAATTCCCACTAGGGGAGGATCCATTAGGTTTTGACAAGGGGCCTCTATAAATAGGAGGGATTTAGAGTCTCATAGGCAAGAGCCTTTGCTTGCCTCTCCTATTCTCCTCTCCCTCTCCACCTCAGAGCAAGCCTGGAGTTTTGAGGAGCATCGTCGCAACCCTATTGTGTGGATCACCGCTAGAGAGGAGGACGCTTGACCTCCTTCATCCTCTCCTAAAGATCTGCAAGGAAACATGGATATACGATCTCTCTAGGTAACACAATCTACTCTATACGCAGTTTTAAGTTTCGCGGATTTTGCGCACCAATCTTTGCACGACGACGAACATCTCTTTGGGAATAGGGGATTTTGTTTTCTTGTTCTTCCGCTGAGCATGTGATGTCGCCCCTAAGATTTCCCAACACTCTGCTCACCGCTGCCCTCTTTTTGCGATACTGCTGCCACCACCGTGATCGTTCGACATCGCCATGTTCGCCAACGTTTATCACCCGGTACACTACTACCTCTTCTCCTCATTTTCTTCCTTCTTATCCCTTCTTCTCCTCCACCGCTTCCTCTTCTTTCTTCTTTTCCCTTTTCCTCCACTGCTTTTTCTTTTTCCTTCTTCTTCCTCCTCCTCCAACGCTTCCTCTTCTACCTTCTTCTTCCTCCTCCTCTTCGTCCACTGCCTCCTCTTCTTCCTTTCTCTTCCTCCATTGCCCTTCCTCTTCTTCTTCATTTTCTTCCTCCTCAAAACACTAGTACATACCGGTGTACCAACACATGGTACACCAGTGCTGATCAGTATGTATCGGTCTGACTAGATCAGTGAAATGGATCCGGTATCCGAAACAACGATCCTTGCTTTACAATACGACAAATACCTCTACTGAGAGCAATCATGTCGATACATTTATATGAAGCTATGATTAGAAACCAACAAACAAAATCTCTTTAAACTAAGATAAGCATTAATAGAGGTATGCAAGTCCAATCACTTTTGTAAATAGCTGAATAAAAGAAAGATGTCTGACAAGACACTAGAGTAAACCACTACAAAAATGTTGTGAAAACACCAACATCAAGAAATACTATGTTGTGTTCATCAATTCAAAAGATTAGACCTTTAATGTGAATTAAACACTGGAACAATTTTATTATGTAAGTTCAATTAAACTGAAGAAGACATGGTAACGAAAGTTGATAAAAGAAGTCATTTATACTTTAGGCAGGCTATAATATCAAAACTGCAATAAGCAAATAAGAAGATCCAACTTAATTCAAAGCTCGAGTATCATGTAAAATGCCCCAGACTTGGACAAAGTTCAGATGAATATAAAAGATGATCACCCACTTGATATACTTGGGCACAGTAGTAAGATTCAAAGTAAAACTGGATGGCCAGTTAGTCAGAGATTATATTATATGCAATATACAAGTGCTATAATTGCGTGAAAAATTGAGAGCATTAATCTTCTACTTAAGGTCTGAGAAATGTTATAGAGGACTATTCCTCAAGAGAGTTCTGTACTTAAAATCCAATACTTCAACCAATTCTGCAGCTCAAAAGAAACCAAATTCCGCAGACAAGTATTTGATGCAAATTGGTGCATGAATACCTGGCTTGAAGAATACCGACAGCCCGAAATCGATAGTCTTGAGTGGTGAGTCTTCGTTCCGGTTCACAAAGAGGAAGTTCTCCGGCTTGAGATCCCGATGCATGACCCCCATAGAATGGCACGCCTCCACTACCCCGACGATGACTCTGGCAAGCCCCGCCGCAGCCTTCTCCGAGAAGTGCCCCCTCTTTATGATCCGGTCGAAGAGCTCCCCGCCGGCGCAGAGATCCATGACGAGGTGCACGGCGACGGAGTCCTCGAAGGTGCCAATGATAGATATCACGTTGGGGTGGCCGGAGAGATGGTGCATGATCTGGATCTCCCGCCGCACATCCTCGACGTCCTCGTAGGTGGCGAGCTTCCGCTTGGCAATGGACTTGCAGGCGAACCGCTTGCCGGTGGCTTTCTCAACACAGAGGTGGGTGGTGCCGAACTGCCCCTGCCCCAGCTTGCGCCCTAGGGTATAGAGGTCCTTGAGGTTGTCGGTCTTGCGGGGAAGCACGGCCCCGGCGCTAGGCAGCCGCTTGAGGTGCCTGGGAGGCGACTGCGGTGGGTATTCGTCGGCAGGGGGAGGGGAACCGGAGCTCTTGAGGTCGTCGGAGGAGATGGTGACGGGTTCCGGTGGGCGATCGGGGGCCGGAGCTGCGGAGGGGGATTCGTCGCTGGCGGCGGCGGCGGCGGAGGAGGAGCGGGGCCGCCAGAGGACGGCAGCGGAGACGGACTGGAAGAAGCTGTGGCGACCGAGGGTTGGGCCGACGCACGTGTTGCCCATGTGGACGAGGGTGGGCGCCGCCTCCTCCTCCTCGATGTCCCCGGCGCCTCAGACCTCGTCGGAAGATGAGAACGACTATATTAATTCCTTTTTGTCAGTAAATTACATATATACCCCTACGTTAGTTTCCTTTTGTCACGAATTTATGTATGTATACCATTACAATTACCTATGCAATCTCTCTTGGAGGAAACCGTAATTGATATTAGTAACATTTAAAAAATACATTATGTTTAGTAAAAGTATTAAATATATATATTTGTTATGTATTCAAAATTAATAATATCAATCATATTTGGAGGTAGGTAGGTAGGTATTTTTATTATCGAATTTAAAAGAGAAAATATGTGCATGAGGGCACATGAGTAAAAGCACAAAACTTATCTCGAAGGAACCAAGCAGTGACCGGTCGAGTTGCGTGTAGCTCAGGCCGAAGACCATAAGAGCACAAGTTTTGAGTGTGCCCAAGTGAATTCTTGGGCTTGTCTTCCCTTCTCTGGCTCTCAGACATCGGTATGGGCCCCGTTGGCATGCTCTTTCTTTCTCTTACCGATTCTTACGAAGACTGTCCGTTCACGTCAACTTTGCGCGTGGATCCCGCGGGTGCGGTCATGCCTTCCTCATCCATGGGCCCCACAACTAAGAAGAGTCTGTCGCGTGAGGTTTTTTTTGTTTTATGTGGGAAAGAAAACAACGTTATAATAAATATAATATTGTATTTTATTAAATTACAATGTAATGTTATATATATTATATTAAATTGACATCAGTTGGATGATCAGCTCGTATTATATTAAAATGCTTTGGGTACCAACACTCACCATGGACCGTAATATCACTAAAAACTCCCTAGCTAATGAATCAATTACTCAATCAGATCAGGTGGCCTGTGTCCACAATGGATTTGGTGTAAAACATCATACCTTTTAGATCTTCCTTGCAAGGATGACAACAAAATAGCAACTTCTGAGACCAGTTTCATTCACAACAGCAGATCTGCTGGTATATCTTCCTTCTGGGATCTCATTTTATATTTTTCATGAGCAAACGACACTAGCAATAACAGTCCATGACCTGCACTTGGACAGCTCTTGAGATTGAATGAGCCATATTTTGATCATTGCCATCAAAATTGGGAAAACTAATTTGATAACTTCAACAAGTGTATTTATTTTTCTTACTTCAACCAAATAAATGTATTACATACCCAGACTGACTCTTGATTGCTTAACTGGGCAGACAATGCGCAAACACTGGAATTTCTCCTCATGGATGAAGTGAAAATGACATGATGATATCATTGGGACTGAATATGAGGAGGAATTTCAAGCTAGATGCAGACATGAGGAGGAATAAGCTTCCCTGGATTCATGATATCGTTGGGATCTAAGACCGACTTTATTCTTTTCATTGTCCTCAATGCCCCACTTCCAAGCTCCTTTTCCAGATACTGCATACTCACGGGAGAACAAAGAATTAAAAATGTTAAAATAATTAACAAAGTTGATGATTATTGGGTTATTGCACAAACTAGTGCTGCTTGAGTTTCTGTTTGGTTCATGCAGTTAAGCCATGAAGACTAGACAAAGGAGGTAAATAGATGCATATGTATACAACATGATCACTGGCTATTTTCATGAACTTCACAATAAGAATGGAAACCAAGAGATTCTCTACAAGTGTGGAGATATAAGGTTATCTAATGCGCTTGGACTGCAGCCACATGCATGGTAGCAATTGCCACCTACAACTTCTACGATGAGTATTTGGACACTACAAGTTTAGAAACTTTGGTCATTGTGTAAAAGTTCCTGAATGGTGTGACAATGTCATGGAAATATAGCATAGCAAGTAGTGCAGGACATGCTTGTCGACTACTTAGAGTTTCTCGTGAATTGTGACATCTAGTGTAACTTATGCAAGACAAATCAGGCTCATTTCGAAAATCTTATGCTTCTTTTAACTTGAATGGATTTTGATGCATTTAATGAGCCATATCTTGTATGTATAATGCACATAAACTATGGACAAGAACATGATGTTGGTCAAAATTGGTCCATTAACAAAGGCCAGAAGATAGAACTTTTGCATATCAGAAAAGAAACCTACCTTCATTTTCCCTGTACCAACACCATGCTCTCCTGTACATGTTCCTGTCCAGTAAAAGACAACTCAAGTTAAGAACTACACAAATACTGAAGCAGAAGTCAACATTGAGATATAGAAACAGTTATAACTTATAACTGGAATATGTTTAATAAAAACAACTGGTGGAATCTCTGACACAAAAGCCAAGTACCATAAGATTTCTCGGGCTAGAAACATTGCTATTTGTAGATGACTTAAAATACCTTGGTACAAAATCATATAAAAATTAATAGACAAATTTGAGAGACATGTTAGGCTACCAGATTCCACTTCTTTATCAAGAAACTCAAATGTCATGGTTATGATGCTTGGAATAACAACATAGAAAACTAGAGGGTTTTCTGGGTTTAAAAAGCTCATACATCAAAATTTATGCTGCCAGTAGACCAATAAGAGGTGAATCATCTTGTTTAGTAACTGCATACGATTAATATAAATGGTTTGAAGTACTGCAGCAAAACATTATTACTTGAAATTAAAGTTGACTAAGCATATGGTGATGATCAGATAATGTCCATGCTCATACTTGGTTCTTTTGCACCATGACAAAGACTATAAGTTTAGCAGACAATATGATTGTTTTTTCACTTAAGTTTCAAGAACAAGTATTTACTTTACTCAAATTCAAACACAAAATCCCTTTGTTCCTTTCAGGAACTTCCAGCAAAAAATTCTCCAAAATTCAATTTCCATGTACATATGCTCGAAATATGGTCCACAAGTAAATATAATATTCTGACCATTACCATTTTGGGCTTTTTAAAGCAATGATTGCAATGGCAATCAGCACAAGTCAGCATGAATTGGAAATGTACAATGTCAGAAACCATGCTTGAGGTGCTGACATATGGCTAGGCCAAATTTAGCAATGTCAATAGGCATAAGGGCACAACATGGCATGAGATCATGCAATGTCAAAAAGGTATCAGCACAACCCCATGCTACAAAATGGAAATCCTTGATGCAAACAATCATGAACAAGTTGTTGATTCAAAGAATCATGAACATGTTGATCTGATCTTCAAGCATTTATTGCCTAAGATAATAATAATACAATCTGGTCTCCACCAGATGTAAACATGAATGTTAAATAATCAGGTAAACCACCATCAAAAGGATCCAGCTAACCTCTACTTCAAATGAACTCAAATTTAAGAACATCTAGGACTAATAGGAGAATCACTTGTAACTCAAACAATTATATGAAGCAAAGGCAACACAGTTTGCTACCCTTTTTTGCAAATTGATCTGTGTGTTCTTTGCATGAAGAGAAAGCTCTGAGCAGATCTGATTTTTGACTCCAGAATATAGTTCAAACCATGGTTTGCTGTACCAAAGCAAACCACCCGATAAAGGCAGTAGATACCAGTCCAACAAGGGACTAGTACATGGACCACCTGATACGAGGCCTGTACCGGTTTGTCACGGCCTTAGTTGGAATTGCCTAAGGCGTGAGGCACCCTTGCGGCCAAAGACGCGAACTTAGCTTGCGTTGCCTAAGTCGCGAGTCACCCTTGCGGCAAAGACGCGAACTTAGCTTGCGTTGCCTAAGTCGCGCTTCGCCCTTGCGATATTGCTCCGCAAGGATCAGCCCACTTGTAACCTCTCGCAGGTCCCGAAGGACCTGTAAAAAGAGAAAGTTGATTAGTTCGAAAGAACGAGCGACGGACAAGTCCCGACGTCTCGCGAAAAGGGAAAGCTTTACAAGCAATTCAGCGAGCACCTTGCGTGCACAAGAGAAAAAGAGAGAGGGGAAAAACAAGGACTTTAGAGGGTTGAATGAACAGCTGCAAGTCCATAAACAGCTGCTCACCGGGTGTCGGGCGCGACAACAAGTTCCCGTCAAGGTAACGTGCGAACTTGCAAAAGGTTGTTCAACGCCCGACATATATCCGAAGCCCCATCCAGCCCTGTGCCACCCGGGGGGTTCCTAGGGGCTGAGATGGCTGACGTTTTAGTGAGCGGAGACAGATTCCAAAAATCAGCCCGCGGCACACGAAAACGGAGCTGTTTTGGGCTGTTTTGGGGCTGTTTTGCTCGGTTTGGTGAGCGGTCGCTTTGTAACGCTGCAGCGTGTTCGAACTTACATTTTTACAAGCAAAATGCCCCGAAACCAAGACAAAACATGCTGCCAAGCAGCTGTACATGTAGGTGTGAGCGACGAACAGTTCGTTGAACGGAGTTGTTGCGGGTGCGCGACGACCGTTCGTGACAGGTTGGTAATGGTTGAAATCCGATCGTTACCGACTGGTATAGGTCGATAACGGTCAGATTTCGACCATTACCAACCAAGGGCAGAGATTGCCCTATTTCAAATGATCAAATTGATCGTTTGGACTGTTAGAAAGGGTTTTTAAACCCTTTCCTCCCCCCTCTTTCAACTCATTTCACTCTCTCAATCTCTTCAACTCTTACAATCTCTTCAACCCATTGAGCAGATGCAACAAAGCCTACATGACATAGACATGGAGCGAAGCTCATCGTATTATGAAGAATTTTACGGCCAACAACAATACAGTGATAGTTGGTCATACTTTTCTGAGCAACAATACGTTGATCGATCTTATAATACGGAGTAGCAGATCAATGGCGAAAGTAGATGTTCCAACATTATTCTCCATGCTCCGCACCAATACATACCACAATCGTACTTGCCACAAGAGCCGTCTCAGACACGTGTGATCCACGATGATCAAACTACGACCATCACCATATTGATACACCAATAACATACTGTGTATCAATATACTATGTTGTAGGATTAATTTTAGGATTGGGTCCAACAAACATATTAAATTGATGCATAGATACATAAGATCGAGGACCTCGATCTACCGCCAGTGGAGTCCCGTCATTCTTTTTTATGGTAGAACCATGTATATCCATTGATTGATTACTTAATTCATTTAAACCTTAAAGTTTGAGTTGTTTAAAAAAAAATCTAACAATTCAAATCATTTCTTAGTAGATAATTCAATATTAACAAAAGGACGGTCCAAAATATCAAAGCTACTCCTCAAAATTCGAAAAAGATATATATCACTATTCATTCCTAATTTAGATTATTTTTGCTAAAATATACTAAATTTATATTTATTTTAAACTTTGAAACCCTAAAATCATACCGTCAATACACCCTGACGTACCGACGTACAATACGTCAGTACGCCTCGGTACGTACCATACCGACACATGGTCGGTACACCGGTACGGACCAATAAAGCAAACCTTGGTTCAAACTTATAAAAGTTGTATCTCTCTCCTACAAGTAGCGAGAACTATCACCTCTGAGTTAAAATATTTTTATAGTGACAAGGAAATGACAAATAGTAATGCATGAATGTTATTGACATGAAAATCGAAATGTATCTGTATTGTGCACTATTATTTTACAATGATGTGAAAGTTTTCAACCACCAGTTCCAGAAGGAAATTAGATGCTATATCAGCAAAAGATATGAAGCAAGTTAGTGGACATGAATTACAGCCAATCAACCACTAGGTAACCAGAGATGTAACTGCGGCAGCCATCTCTCTGATAAGAATGAAATAAAAGGCTGAGGTCCCAAACAGAAGCATCAGAAATATCAAGCCTCAACTAGCAAATCCAATCCCCATTTTCATAGATAATAGGAATATAAAATCTATTAAGGAATAAAAGGGTTGTAGGTGGGCCAAATTTCAAAATTCAAATCACAAAAATGGTAAGCAGATGATAACACTTACTAGTTATAGTTGTTCTTGTACTATACTTGTAAACATATACTGACCACAAAAAGAAATTGCTAGATTAACTGTGAACAAGATAAACAATTGAAAACCACCATGAGTCTAATACAAATTAACAAGAGAATAAAAATGAAACAATTATTTCTTTATCACAATTTTAAGATAAAATCCTTCTACATTTCTCAGTAGAATCTGATTCTGAAAATCTGTAATATCTGAAATTACATAAGTACCTTCCAGGGATAAGGCAGTGTGAACCATAAAATGGTTTAGTCTCTCTGCTTCTTGCCGTTGTTCTTCTTGTTCTGGATCAAACATAATAATTGTGTGGAAGTTTCCATCACCTGCGTGAGCTATGACCGTGCTGAGGGCACCAATGCAGCATGTCAGACATCCGGGTGAGAGTAACTACCTACATGTTGAATTTAACAAAAAAACTCTTCCCAAACGAATGATTTAAGAATCATATTTTGTTTGATTTAAAGTTTAATTTATTCTAAATTGCCTGAATAATTTCATAATGACATACCACAATAGTGATGATGCATCAAGCTCTTGCTTAGATTTTGATATACATTCTGCCAACCTTGATAAAGGAACACAGACATCCTGTATAAGATGAAAATCAGTAGGTACATACAGCAACATCATCTGCTTGAAACAAAAAATATTTTGATGCATGGGGTAACTGCTTGTCTTGCTAAGTAAAATGCAAAAGATATTTTTATACATCCAAAAGATGTGCAAACATGAAAAGAATAAGCATCTTCCTTAACAGGTCATACTTTGATGAAAATAAAGAAAGGTGAGACTCTTAACAAACCATACAATTACCCATAAACTTTTGCTTGCACATGGAAGATTAAATTTGAGTTGTGAACAGGTAGGTTGGAATGTCAACACATAAGACTTGATTGAGAAGATTACTACCATAACCATGTTGATTTTAAATGACACGATGAAAAATAAACCAACAATGACAATAACAAGATTGAGATGGTTTAATAATTTATATCAGAATAAGAGATTTCTGTGGCAGCTCAATTCTTGTGTCGAAATTTCAGAAAGGTTATTAAAATAGTTGAAGAGCTAGTAAATCAATGAAAGTTCATGTATCCCTACAAGAGAAGAAAAAAGAAAATTTACTGGGCACTAGTGAAATACTTCATCAATTGTTCATTCTAAAACTCTAGATACTATAACATACTTTGCTCATTTAAGAAATAAATGATTACTTAGGACCTCTTATGCAGATTAGACATATTTGTTAGGCATGATTTTGACATGTTTATTAGGTAAAATAAATTACCAAATTTGATGAGAACTATTTATCTTCACCACCAATGAAATCTTAGTTCTTTTACCAAATGGATAAACTAGTAATTAACAAGGAAAAAATAAAAAGCTTATACATTGATCCAAGGTATACAATTTTGAATAATACCGTCCGTATTGGGCGGTACGTACCGGCTCGTATTGGGCGGTACATACCGGCTCGTATTGGGCAGTACGTGCTGGTCAGCTGATCAGTACACGGACCGCCCATTACCAAACAGAATATATATAAATATATAAATATATAAATATATATATATATATATTTATTTATTTATTTATAAAAGGCGACATCGCCCCGCGTGGGAGAAGGAAAAGGCGACACGACGTCACCTTTTATAAAAATATTTATATATATAATATATATATATAATCTTATATATATATATATACCGAGCGATATACCGAGCGATGTACAGTATCGTACCGTACCGAGCGAATGTCGAAACTCCGGTACGGTATTTCAATCCTTGCATTGATC